GTAAAACCACATTTATTTTTAATCTTACCTCAGTATGCCTCAAATTCCAAATTTCTGTAGTGTTCTGTAATGAGTTCCTGTGTACTCATTATTGAATGGAAGGTCCAAAACCTGTCATTGTCCTTTTTTATTTTATTTTATTTTTTTACATCTTTGGGCAGGTTCAGCCTCAGTTCACTCTTTGGAACTGCTGCTCAGAAGTTTCCAAATTCTGGGCACCTGTGTGTATGCAGCCAACTCTCAGTGACCACTTTGAATGTTTCCATCTCTCTCTCTCTTTCCCTCTCTTCTCTCTTCTCCTTTGAATTTTCTGGTTATCTGTTGTCGGTGTAAGTCCTCGACATTGCTCATATGATTAAACTGGAGCTAGGAAGACAAGCTAGGGAGAGAGAGATTGAGAGAATGAATGTGAATGAAGAGAGAAAGAGTGTGGGAGACCAAGACTGGGCAAGGCAGTGCACACAAAGCCGTGTTTTCCAAAGTTGCAATGGAAGTTATATGTGGGTTTATTTCTCGTTTTGCATTGTCCTTTTTTCTCTCTACCACTAAGAATAATTGAGAGTTTACCGTGCACATCTTAAACACATGTGCACATAATCAGATATATTAAAATAGAATGTATATATATATTTCATATATATATAATCGAGTATTTAGGAACACATTAGACTATGTTGAATGTGCTTTATGACTAGGGAAGGTACACTTTGCAGATTTTCCTGGGGATCACAATTATGAGAGATGGGGACTTTTTTTTTTAATGTGACTTCTACTTCCGGGTATAACTTGATAAACTACCATATTTTAACAATAATTCCATTCTCAGTATAATTAATAGAAAATTAGTTTCTAAAAGTAAAAATTGGGTCAGAAATGGAGATTGTTAAAATGTACAATTGCAGAAGCCTGACCCTGCAAACCCCATTTATGCAGCTGAGTTCCAAAATGCTTTTGAGTGCTTGATGACTCACAGTGGCTTCTTCCTCTGGCTGGTTTAGTGTAGGCAAGAGGTTAGCCAACTAGGGGAAATTAAAACAATGTTGTACATTATATTGTTACCAGCCATCGAAAAGCCTATTTTGTATGCAAGACAGCAATGCTGAGATATATGGAGAGCCCTGGGCTAAGTACAGAAGATAATTACATTTGGAATTTTACTGAGTTAAGTCATTTACAGCTTCAAATAGTTGCAGAGAAAAATCAGCCAAAACACACTTAAACTTTTTGTTGTGACTTTTCAGAATAGAAAGGATTTTTTTAAATTAGTTATTATCTTATATGACAAATTACATTTTTTAGTAGGATTTTTCTCAAAAGTTATTTTTGTTTAGCCAGTTAATATTTTTTCATTCAAACTTGGGATATAAACTTATTAGAACAGTAAGATATTTATACAAGAAAAGGGCACATCATAAAATCTCAACATTTTAAAATGTCTTTGGAAACATCTTTAAATTTAACATGTTTATTGAGACGAAACAAAAAGTAGATTTAACCCACCTCGACACTTCCTTTATGATTAAGACATAGCCTTTGACAAACTGGACTCAAAAGAATAAACTCCATGCCTACTCCTACCTGAATTTGTACACGTTGGTGGTGGTATTTATAAAGTAATACAAGCTCCTGCATTTATTTATTTGATAACATTAAATTCTTGATGGGCTAAAATAAATTGTTGACTAGAATTGTCGTGGGTTGTCAGGTAGCCGTTCTAGACTACAGATTTGTGTTTTCAGCCATTGTTTCATTGGTCAAGAACTGAGCATTTATTTCCACAAAAAGAGGTCAGGAGAAGGAAAAGATTTAGACCATCATCAGTAAGTCAAGTGTTGATCTCCTGGCAGCTTTCATGTTGTTTTCTTGGTGGGTGTGGCCTAGAAGTAGTACAAATATAAGGATTCTTTGATTTTTATAGATTTCATTTTTTCTAGATTTCCTTTTATCCTTCAGCCCTAAATCAAACAGAAGGCAGGTTTTTCAGCTTGTGATCGACACCAAAGATGACCTGGCCAGAAGTTAGTACAATATGGTCATTACCCGTGGTGTTCCTCGTAACGTTTTTGTTGGGGAATTTGCTGTAATGGACGAAGGAACAGGCTAATTCTGATGTGTTCCGTTTCTGCAAAGCTTGAGGGAATTGTCAGAGTGATGAGATAGACCTTGTTGAGAGCAGGGGTTAGCAACCTACAGACCTCAGGCCAAATCTCACAAGCTAAGGAATGTTTTCATACTTTAAATGGTTAAGGGAAAAATCTAAAGAATATTATTTCATGACTGGTGAAAATGCTAGGAAGTTCCAGTTTCAGTGTCCACACATAAAATTGTATCAGAACACAGCCATACCCATGCCCACTCATTTACTTATTACCTGTGGCTGCTTTTGCACTACAATAGGAGAGTCAAGTAATTGAAACTGAATTTACATGGCCTGCAAAGCTGAAAATGTTTATGAACTGGCTCTTACAGAAGTTTGCCAAGCACCCCTGGTGAAGAGGATCAGAAAAACTATTTGTATTACAATATTAGCAACTTGTCCCCTTAGGTTCTGGCTGCTTCAAGTTCTGCTCACCCCTTTTCTCTCTTCCTTCTTAGCCAAGGTGTATACAACTAGTTTAGTCTCCACATGGATCAAGTTTTTCTACTAGCATTTTTGTGTAACAAGGACTTGCCAGTTTTGGAGGTCATGGAAAGCTGGACAAGGGATATTCATTTTTCACTCTTCCATCCATTCATCTACCGACCCATCCATTCATCTGTCCACTTACTCATTTAGCAAGCATTACTTAGAACTGTCAGATAGTAGACATCTTGCTGGAGCTACTGCAAAGTACAGTGATTAAAACAGATAAAGCTGACCTCCAAGCTCTTACACTCTAGAAGGAAGAATAGACTACAAAATAATTTTCTAGTGAGATTGTCCATTCATGGGGCAGTGCTGGCTTACACTAATGAGTTCTTGAGAAACTAGAAATTTACTCAAAAGAGAGTTTCAATGCTAGAAAGGGGCCAAGCCAAAGCAGATTGTATCCATTAGTTACATTCAATCAGATGCAGTAGATAAGAAAATGTTAGCAGTTTTTAGTATTTAAAGAACCCTTGCCCTGAGACAGAGTTAAGAGAAGCCTTAACTCGAGGATTTGATTACGAGTCTTTTGAGTTGCAGACCCTAGCACATAAGGGGGCATTTGGGACACAGTACAGTTGTACTCAAAGGAATCTATTCTTTATAGGCTTCCCCATTCTCTGCACTTCAGCACTGCTAGGTTTGTGCTATTCCATTTGCCACTTAACGCACCAATGTCTAGAAACATACTTTCTAACTTAACTTGACTACCAGCCATTGTGCTTATAGAATCTGAGTTATTGGGGCAATCACATCCCTCCAGCAGCAAGAATACTTTAGAGATGTGCTTGTCCTCAAACAGCCTATTTCTATTTCCTGTTGGCATCGTCCCTCCCTTATTCTCTAAGCCACAGACTGGTACGTCGCCTCCGTTAGAGGAGAGGCGCTGCACATGACTGACCCAAGGGCTACTTTGCTTTTCTTAAAGCATTTATCAGTCCAGGAAAAACTTGAACCTCCAGGTATCTCTCAAAGTATGTTATAAAATTATCATTGATTAACTTGAATTTGAAAAACATTTGCACCACTTAGCACTGCAAGAAAGAGCAGTTGCGTTCTTATCAATTCCCAGAGGGCAAGGCTTGCTGTGTTAGAGTGGAGGAGGCAGAATCTCCCCTACCACCCAGACTCTCAAGACCTCCCTTTGCAGCATGGTACTTAAGTGTTAACAACTGGTAGAGGGTAGACCACACATGTGCCCCCATCATACAAACAAACCCAGTAAGCTCAAATTGGATCTTACCACATACATCAATGGAGGCTCATGATATCTAACCTAGAGGATCATCACAAAAGGATTCCACAGGAGAATTCAGAGGGCACAGTAGCAGTAGAAGCAACCAAAGCTGGTGAAGGTCACTTAAGAGCTGTCCTGTGTACCTAGACAGCCCCCTTGAATCGAAACCCTGAAAACCTTTTCTCTTATGAAAAATGGAAGGTCCTTGTGTCTCTGATCTACCAGTCAAACCTCCCTAAAGGAAAACGATGCAATTTTTCAAAAATAACTACTGTTAGCCATAGGGGATAGTGTCTACAGATGTTCCCCTTCATAGAGCTATCTATCTAATACTACATTTGAATTAAACTCAAAAGCCTTTAAGGCTGAACTGGTGAGATTTCAGGCAGCCAGGCTTAAATAAAGACAATGGGTTATGAAGATTGACTTAGACTATCTAATCAGCACTGTGCATGAGAGCTGTCCTGTTCCTGTATATTTAAAATATGACTTGATTTACAAAACCAAAGTTTTAATAGAAATTTCAGGCCGGGCGTGGTGGCTCAAGCCTGTAATCCCAGCACTTTGGGAGGCCGAGGTGGGTGGATCACAAGGTCAAGAGATCGAGACCATCCTGGTCAACGTGGTGAAACCCTGTCTCTACTAAAAATACAAAAAAATTAGCTGGGCATGGTGGCGCGTGCCTGTAATCCCAGCTACTCAGGAGGCTGAGGCAGGAGAATTGCCTGAACCCAGGAGGCGGAGGTTGCGGTGAGCCGAGATCGCACCATTGCACTCCAGCCTGGGTAACAAGAGCGAAACTCCATCTCAAAAAAAAAAGAAATTTCAATTACAAACAGTAAGGTACATCTGTATTTGTTAGATTTTTGTTGAAAGATGTAAAATATATGGCGAATATTTTCTCAGCAGTAGAATGCTTATGTAGAGCATGTTTAACAGAGAAGGCTTGGGTAATTTCATTCTCTTGTTACAACCTTCTACTGGTCTTATTGAGAGAAGAGTCAAGAAGACATCTCAGTGGACCTTCTGAGTCTTTTCAGACATTTCTTACTGCATTTCATTATTGCAAAGACAGTTAACATTTTTAAACATTTTACCAATGGACCCCAGCTATTACCTGGGGCCTAAAAGTATAAA